TTGTACCCATCAGGTAAAGCATAGGCTATGTTTGCTTTGCCTTGTCGCCACCTCACAACAGTGATATAGTATGATGCAATCCCATATTAGATTCTCGATGAATGTGTTTTGTTGTTATTCAGCCTTTCAATTTGCCCCTTTTAAACTTTGAGCACCCGCCCCTTTAAATGTCTCTGCATGGCCCTGCTGCGGAGGAATGCATATTTCTGATGTGACCTCATCCCAGACACACGATGACTAACAGCTTTACTTTAACTTTACATTTATCATTTGGTTTCTTTCAGGAGATTCCAGATTCCTACACAAACACTCAGAGCACAGAGCCTGAAACACCGAGACTAACAGAAAACTTTTCTCTTAAAAACAAAGCATCAGCAGAGCGAGCAGAGAAAGAAACGACAGAGCAAATATTCACAGCATATTTCCTTTTCTCGGCAGAAACATCTGTTTCCACGTCACGTACAGCGGCCTCACTCAGAGCTCAGGGCGGGTCGGCTTCTTAGCCCAGCAGTGAGTCCGTTACAGTGAACTATGGAGCGGCAGATTTGTGCTGTTTGTGCTGAACTAAGCTGCACACAGCTGATGTTAGCCAGGAAAACATTACACACTGCTAATGTTACCTTAACACAGAGCTTCACACGGAGACAGTTGTCGTCAGACACAAAGTTCAGGAGAGAAAAACTTTGGGAAAGATGGTGGGACAGAGGATCCACAGTCCCCCTCCCCCCAACAGGGACTGGCTGTCACAAACATTCTGACCAATCACAGCACTCCATTTCACTCTGTTTTTGTTACACCCCCTGCTTTTCCACAGCAGTAAACTGCGGTCAGCCTGTGTCTGTGCTGAGTGTCAGCAACAGTCAGAGAGGATGGAGTCAGTGAAAGCAGCACATAAAATTTTCTATTGAACGTAGAAAAACACAGAATAGATTTAGTTTGAGTGAATAAACAGCACAGACTATAATAATAATGACAGGCGACTGTTTGTTCAGAGCTGATTTATTTCTGCTCATTTTCCTGTTTGAAACACAAACATCTGTCAAGACTTTGTTTCAGCTCCACATTCACCCAAACATTCATGATGAGATCATGGACTAGTGTGAGGTACTAAACTTCTACTGTAACACTTTACCTTCATATGATGTCAGTATGAACATCAGCAGGATTCTAATGCAGGACTTTTACTGCAGTAAATACTCTGAATACTACAGACAGGCTGATCCCAACAACAGCAATAACCTGAAAATACATGAAACTAACATTAAAGCAGCGTTTCATCCTCACAGTGTGTTTGAACACACTGATCCAGGATCAGATTCATGTTTCTGACCTGAGAGTTTACCTGTACACTTATGATGCATTCAGGGTCCTGCAGCAGACTGTTGGCTCTACAGTACAACGGGG